CAAATCGATAATTTTATTCATCTGTTTTCCAGTAGCACATTTTTGCAGCTCCTCACTGAAAACTAAGCAAATGGAAAAGATTCAAAGGACAAGGAAGGCAAAATTATCACACCCCCTTTAGTTTCACTTGAATTATGTAAGTAGAGATTTACAAAATGGCCGTATGAAATTTATATTTGTACCTTATTTATTACAATCTTTTGCATGCCACCTCTGGGAGTACTCTCCACCCCACAACCAATTTAGTACTGCTGGTAGTGAAAACCATCAACTTTTGTGGAGCTTTTACACAGCTTTGATGCAGACGCAGCCTTTTCTTGCTTTTTCTTAATCTCTGTTCATTTATTCCTAGATTGTGAGGGTGCTCACAAGCTCCTCCCTGAAAGTCTGCTAAATTCCAATATTTAGAACTCCCAAAATTTGATTACTGACAGCAGCAAAGGTTTTTGTTTTTCTCCTTTGCTTGTTCTGCAGTTCCTTTTAAGAGAACCCCATTCATGTAACCCATGGGGTGGCTCCCTAAATCTTTCAAGTAGAAGAGATGTGGGATGAAACCTAATTGAGAACCTTCCCCTCTCAGTGTGGCTGATCCTTTGGGAGCAGCAACAAAAAGAAAACACTTCCACTGACTTTAATCATACACATCCCTTCCTTTGAACCCATCTTCCCTCTCTGAGTTGAGCTGCTGTCCAACCCCAGCTTTTCTTTCCACACCAAAACTGCGAATACTCAAGGAGGTTCAAGGATCCTTTATCAAACTTTACCTGGCATTTCAGCAGGTTTCTGGATTCACCTGCTTGTTAGCAGGTTGGAAATTGTTTATTCTTATTTTATTTCCTCTGACTTTCACCTCCTTTGCTAAAGCACAGAAGCAGAAGGACCTCGGGTAGTGAAAGGCAGGCAGGCTGCTGGAACAGGGAATTGCTGGGCATCATTGCTATTGCCAGACAAGATGACACCAAACTTGATTTTAATCAATGAAACCTCAAAATGTCAACCTCTGTCAACTTATCCTAGAAGTCTGCTATTCTAGGAGTAATAAATCAGTTCCAACACTGTACACACTACACCATTACCACTCCAGGCAAAGTTAACCCTGATAACCAACACTCAGCAAGTTATGCACCTGATTTAGTAACAACAGACAAGTGATAACCTGATGGAAGAGGAAAAGGGTGTTGATATATTACAGGAATTTGAATGTAAGAATAAGTTGTTTGCCTTAATTTCATTTATATTTAAGTAGCATTTATGATTGGAGGGTTTTCTCTATGCAGCCTGTAATAGTTGTATCATTTAGTAATGTTTAGATGTCTGTCTCATCACCTAAATGATGTTGGAGTATTTTCAGAAGTATTACTACATCCAGTTAATATGGATTACAATCTCTAGTCTGATGGGATAAAAACACACAGCCATGTGCATTAATAGCGAGCAAGAGCACTGTAAAAAATGGAGACGTAAGGAACAAAAGGTTCTCTAAGTGCTTCTGACTTCTCCCATCTGCTCTGGATCAACACAGCAAATCGTTTTGTTTGTCTGGATACTCAGCTGAGTAATGTGATGTAAAACTTGACAAAATCCTCCCCCATTAGGCATCTCAGGGGAAGTTTTGCCCTCGTGCTGAATCCCATCCACTATAAACAACTCTCTGATCCTTGTGATAGAACTGTAAAAAATCTATATTTTGCAGTAGTTCTACAGATTAGCGTGAGAAATAAAAACAAGTTTAGCAAGATTTCCCCCAGATTTATTTTTGTTTTAGTCTCACAAGTCAGATCAGCTCCCAGGTACCATTTGAGATGCCTGCACAATGCACTCTCCCTTCTGCCCTGAACGGGAGACTCTCCCCTCCCACCCAACACATTATCCAAATGCTCTGTGATGATGCTCAGGGAAGAGTTACTTCTTCTTTCAATTCTATTGTTGTCTCCCCGGTAGTGACAGGTCCATTTAATGTTTGGGGTTTTTTTTTTAAGAATTCTGGTGCTTAGATACATTCCATTCAATAGAAATCTGAAATTTAAAGAAATCCATTTTTTTGCAAGCCATTCTCCTCAGCTAATAGATATCCCTCCCAAAGCAGCAGCAGAGATGAGGGAATTTCAGGTACCAGCACATTTCTATTCAGATCACAGGCAGCAATTCTTGCAGTGATTTTATTTCGCAGCAAAAAATCATTATTGTCCCTACTGAATTACCCTGAAGAGTCCTATTTTACTCCCACTACCTTTTCTCAGCATCTCTTGATCAAAAAGAGAGCATGATATTTGTTATCAAATATCAATATATAGACAAGAGTTTCAGAAATGGAGACTGGGGGAAAATCAAAGGCGTTTTAGAAAACATACACCTTGAATAAGCAAGAATGAGATTTTAAGGAAGCCCAAGAGAAGAGCAGGAAACTGCAGAGAGAAGAGAACAGCACTTAGAGGAAACCATGAGGAAAAGGGACAGAAATGGCAGGATCCAGCCCAAATCCAGATTCTGACTGACAGTAAATTTACAATTTCCTAAAGCTTCCAACTATCATTTTTTCAGCTGGATTTCCTTAGCTCTGCAGGTATAACCAGTTGTCTGATGAGCTTCGAGAACAAAAGGTTTTAAAAGGCTCAATCACTCAGCTTAATGAAAACATCCTGAATTATTTAACAAACAATCTATTAGGCAGCTTTAGCTCTCAAGAAACATGCAGTTTGATAGATCTGAGTCACTGCTGTAGTTTTATATCATGGCAACTCCAGCCCTTTCAACACAGTCTCAGTGATGTAACCCAGGAGTGAATTCAGCCTGAGATGCAGCTGCATTAGACTTTCATATAGGATCTGTCACTAAGAACAGGAAAAGCAGCCAACAATTATTTAAAAAAAAACCACCTGAAAATAAGCCTTTCAGGCTCTGGAACTGGGGCATTATTCAATAATTCATTCTCAGATCCATTTGAATTCTCATCTGTCAACTCTCCTTTTATTACCAGATTGTTCTATAAGCAATGATCTGGCAACACATTTGAAAAATCTATGTATTCCTTCTCATCCATCACAACAAACTATTTTCCAAGCAACAACAGAGACAGTGTAATTTCAAGAGAAATAGGTTCAACTCTTAACTCATTATTTTTATGCCATGGTTGTGTGGCATAAGAAATATCATTGAAAACAGGAAACCCTTTTCTCTTCCCATCACAACCTCTTTCAGTACATCAAAATGCACTCCAAGCTGTGCCTTTATAACTCTGCCCATTGCTCAAAAATATACAATAATTAAAAGTCTAAGTTACTGAGGCTCAAGGAAGACAACTGAAATGTTGCTTGTTAAGTCACTGCTTCGAAGTCTGAGGACACTTTTCTTACAGACAACAGTAACTAAAGGATTGAATAATAAAACAAATTTAAAAATTACAGCTTCCAGGGTAAGTCTGACCACCAAATTCTGCAACCCCCCCACCTCAACCCCTCTTTTTCCAAGGGAAGAGGGAGCTTTTCAATATAAAGTGACACGTCTTCATCAAACCTTGTCCTGTGCTTGCAGCAGACCATTTCCTGTTTTAGAAAACACATTCAGCCAGAAAAACACTACATCATTCATCAAAACATTCGTTTTTAACCGGCACAAACCTAATTTCAATGCAAATATATGAAGCACAAAAAACCAAGTTTCTAAAAATAAACCTCCACCTCTCAAAACATTATTTTCCAAGTTCACTTCTGACAAACAAGCAGAAAGGCTGTGACTTTGTGTAGCAAGATGTTGCGGTAGGAGATATCAGAGTCACTGCAGAAAGAAGTATTGAAAGACACTCTTCCGAAACTCAATATAAGAATTCTGTCAATCAGCAGATAAATTAAAAATATTCTGTATGCTTTTTCACCTTTCAAGGTATTTTTGTGTTTCTGTCAGTGTGACTAAGCAGCTTCAGAAGTCAGTGATGTCTGAGTGAAAGGCAGTGTTCATTTGGAGAGAGTCCAACCACCTCCTCCTTTCAAGGAGCTGTTAATGTTTGATGTTCATGTTTAAAACTGCATTAACCATGCCTGTAAACAGGAAAAAAGGGGTTGCCAAACACTTGGAATACCGTGTATTTCCTTAGTCTGACATAAGTCCACATTCCTATGACCTCAAGTCTGAAGAGATACAGCTCAGATAATCACAAGAGAGGAAAAAAGCCCAAATGTGTATAGAATGACATAATATCAATTCCTGGCACTGTCCAACGAGAGGCACTTGGAAAGGCCCTATAGCAAAATATTACTGTTTTAGAGAGAGAAAAAGAAGACTAAAGGGACTTGAGTGCAATGAATTATTAACTCTTTAGTGACATCAGATGGAGCTGAGTATCACCAGCACCTCTGTAAGTCAGGTCTACAACACCTCAGTATAAACTTGTTTTATGGGGCACATTTCCTGCCAAGGTATAATATTCTGTGGAAAATGAAGTGTGCAGTAGGGAGACAGGTTATTCCCATCTTTTAAGCCAGGTTAAAGTGGTTCCCTCTCGGTCCAGCCCTGCTCAGTTTTCAAGCCAACAGTGGCATTGCTCTGGGGAACGCTTTGCTCTTGCAACGGCACCAAACTAACCCAAATTCTCTTCTCTGGTTTTGTATCCACCATCCTCTGAGGAAATCACTGCCATATGGAATTGCAGTTGTACCCCACCCTCCCATTCCCTCAGATTTTACCCTTCCTTTGCACAGTGTGTGTGTTGAGATGATACAGTTCTCAGCATCCAAGATAGAGCCACTGGGCTCTATTCTAAGTTCATTAATAAATGAACTTAATTGCAACAAATCTCATCAGTTTTCTTCTCTTTGGTAAGACAGATATTCCCTATCCTATATATTCATGTATTAAAGAGCATTTAAGCCAATTCAAGTGCAGTCACTCCAAAAGCAGCAAGGTGTCCCAGGTAACAGTTCCAGTGATTGATGACCGAAACAGTCTAAAAGAAGATCTAAACTCAGTTACAAAAATCTAATTATTCAGCAAAACACTTTACTTACTGGACCTTGAGGACTGTTCTTGGCACTGGAAACCAGAGTCATAACATCAGATTTATAGTCCTGAAATGAGAAGAGGGGAGGGAAAAATAATCAGATTAGACATAATAGTTGGCACTTCACATATCAGGAGTGAAGACCAACACTGAGCACCACTACAATTACACTCAAAGGAGCCATTAGTAAAACATTTGATTATGGAGATTTTCGTCTTATGCCTTAGACCTTTTTTACCAAATTACACAGTTTTTTGGGTTTACTGCAACGATCCCCAAGAAAGCCAGTAGTCTTATCCCTATTTTAGAAGGCAGTGGGGTGGGAAGGACAGGATGATGATACAGAAACTCAGAAACTCAGCTGAGTACTCCAGAACTTCCTGAACTAGGCCTGCACAACCTCAACGTAAAATTTGGATGAAGTTTCTCGGCCACTCAAAATTCCCTCTCCCAAAAAACTACTTTCTATTGCATTAGAAGGACCTAAAGCAATATAAAATCCCTAGTTTTCTATTCCTCAGGAAGCTTCTCCTACATCCAGACTGGCATTCCACAAATGAGGACACAAAGCAGTTTGGGGCTGGGCTTGGCTTTGCAGTTACAGCTGAAGAGACCAGAATGCAGGAAAAAAACCCAGGAATATTACTGCAGTACAGGCAGTGTGAGAATAACCTGCTGCACTGCTGTTATTGCAACACAGACACAAAGGCTTGGAAGGGTTTTAAACAGGCTTTAGAGTGCCACAGTATCTAAATACAGGAACAATAAATACAAGTGGAAGATTCAGTCAGTAATTAAAACAGTTCTGTTTTTAAAAGGATATGCTAGAAAGCAGTTGGCATGTTAAATTTTTGTCTCCTCCCTAATGGATACAGCTACTATATTCATATTTATATTTTGAAAAGGTCTCCCAGGGCTGACCTCCTCTTGTCTTGCCTTTCCTGTCAATAATATCAGATTTACATGTCAAAGCCAAGCTATTAATGTTTGGAAATGCAAATCTGATAAGCTGAAGTTGGGGCATGTCTGACCATGACAGCAGAGAGTAACTTCTGGGAACTTCTTTTAATTGTTAACATCAAGTGTGCCTCCATATCCTAAGCTTCTAGATCCTTTATTTATAGGAGATGTTCTATGATCCAGTAGACAGATCACATTTCAGGGAGTTGATAGTAATTCTCCAATACTTCACTCTGAGCATCCTCTAGTCCCTGAAGTGTATAAATAGGACTATCACCTGCTCTCCCTTCAGCTCAGCCATTGTAAACTTTAACTGCTTCTCAGAAAATGCCAAGAAATGGACTTTACAAGATCTACATAGATGCCAAACTACCATCAAAATCACCCCACAGACAAATCCCTGCAGTCCAATTCCATGTTTCCCACAAAGGAAAGCAGTCACTGTGAGAAGCTTCAAACTGAGAGTGACATGGAATAAAACCACCCAGCAAACCTTCTGCTTCCTGGCCCCTGTATAATTTGGTAGTGCCTCCGCATCCTCACCCACTGCTGTGCCCCTGAGAACCTGCAAAGGTAGGAAGTGCTCAGGTTTTCTTCAGGTTTACTGATTTCTCCTTCCTTCTGCTCCTCCTCCTGAGCTGCTCTGTGTTATTGCTCAGCCTCTCCACACCATTTCCCCACTCCTGCTTTGCTGGGCACATCCCACAAACCCAGCCTGCACAGGGAGGCGGCAGAATTCACCTTCAACCATTTGTATTCCGTTCCCATTCCCATTCCCTCTCCCCTCCTTAGGCTGCTCCTGTTGCTGACCCGGCATCGCAGCTCCCCCGTGCTCCCAGAGGGCACTGTGGGACTCCAATCCCTTTCTGCAGGGCTGCTCCTCTTGGGAAGCTCCCCAGGAGAGGCAGGCTGGCACACACACAGACACAGCACGTTTTATTTTACACAGTTCTTTTTCCAGAAGGCAGCATTCCGAGTTCTAAATAAATATGCCATTTTAAGCAGGTATTTTGCAAATATACTCTTTTTCTGCCCCCCTTCAGCTTTGGACCAGTGTTGCATGTGGGGCACTCCTCGGGAAGCTTGTGATGCTCCATATTAATAATTCACTTGCAACACGGGGTAATCCAGGGACATTGAGCCAGAAAATAAAAGCAAATTAAGAAAAACTCCTCAGGTCAAGGTTATTTTCAGGGGGACAGGGAATTCCAGCAATAGTCCTGGCTAATCTAAGCCTGTCAGCAAGAGCCTGAGTGCCTTCCCCAGTAGTGCCAGATGTTTGCACTGGTACCCACCAAACAACCCTCTCCTCCTCCTGTCCCATACACTGAATCCCTCACTCTCCACAGCTGCAGTAACAGCATTCAGAGGCAGCTTTCGGATAGACAAGAGAGATTAATTCCCATAAAAATGTTTTTCACATATAAGTCATTTTCCTCTACACCATTTCTCTATTTACAGCAAACAAAAAATTGGCTTGTAGAGTTACATTCACACTCATTTTCAGGTAATATGTCATAACATCTCATACATGTTCAGGTTATTCTAAGTGTTATGGCACTGACAAATCATTTAACTATGCACTTGTCTTGGAATCTACAGGAAAATGGAAATTACATGGATTCAGCACTGCAGCACTTGCAGCAGCACAATAAAGGGAAACTTTCTCCCTCCTAGAGAGCTATACTTCTTGTTCCTATCAGTGCCTCCTCCAGGTAATTTCTTTTAGGTCTCTTGTTTCCATTAACATTTGTATTTTGAGATAATTTCTGCTTGGTACCTGAAGGTGGAATTGCAACAACCATTTACAGGCTATTTTGTTATCAGGGTCTGTTCTGTTACAAAGGGCAGCTGTGCTGTGTCCATGCCAGGCTTTCCAGAACTTTCTTATGATTTTCTTTCCTAGCCATCTGCCCTCAGAGAAATCATGAACTAGCATTAAAACACTCCCTAATTTTTATATGGGGCCCAATCTTCTCCCCACCCCTCGCATTGAAAGTTTGAAGTAAATGTCAGCTAACAGACATTACTATCCATTCTTCTGCCTTTAATGGGAAAAATAAATTTTGGCAGACTGTCCCCAGCGTTAAAAGTCTGAGCAACTCCCTGGGGACAAAAAGAATCAATGCAAGAAAGATCCATATTTTCTTTCTTGGAACACCACTACTTCCAGCAATTTATTTGACTGACTATGCCTTCTATTACCATGTAAATTGTTTCAGGCTGCAGGAAAAAAAAAAAAAAAATAGTATTAATCTCCCCTCAGTAAGTCATAAAATAAAGAAATCAATTTCAAGGTCAATTGAGTCTAAATAACACCTGCTGCCCTTTTTGTAACATGCAGACTCCTCTGAAACACTAAGTTGCTGTCTATGAAGGCATCAGGACGTGCTGTCTCACATAAATCAGGGTGGTGTATGGTCCAGTCCAGCCTATTTGCAGGGGACAAAATGGGGGTTGAAAAACCACCTTCAAAACAGGTCCCTCCTCATCACACATTTTCAGCATAAGCACAGGGCTTTGTGACAGGAAAGAAAGCTGAGGGACCCTGGTCTGATTGCACAAGGAGCTTGTATCTCCTGAGGTCCTGGGGACATCAAGGGATTCTCAGCTCTGTGCTGGAAGGATATAGTTCCATAAAGGGTGAGAAACCTCAAGCAAAAATTTCATAGTCGGGGAAAAAGGGCAAAAAACAGTAGTAACAAGAAGAAATCTTTTCTTCCTCGAGTGGAAAGCAGAGTGGAATGACAAAGAATGGAAAGGAAATAGGGTGATGATGGGTTTCCCCCCCTCAAACCAAGAAAACTCGAAAGTCTCTCCTGCTTTCACAGAAGGAAAATTTTTAAGTGGAAATTCATTTCTCTTTGGGTCAAAAACCGTCCCACTTTTCTTTTAGGTGTACTTAGTGGGTTTTTACTGTAGCACAACGCTGCATTTGATGATTCCACAGCCCTTTTCCTGGAAAGTTTACCTTGAACTCTGTAACCTGCCTGGGCTCTAATAAAAAAGCTCCAAAGCCATAGCCCTGGGTGGACTGGTCGATGTGTTTCTCCCCTCTGTGGCAGTTCTTTCCCATAAGATCAATAGTTTTTCCTTCCCCAAGTCCAATTCTAAATTGGTGCCTCTCTAAATACAAAGGCCCTGACAGAGTAATTTTTTGAGCTGCCAGGAAGAGTTATCTGGGACAAAACTGAAGCTCAGGGAGAGGATCCTTTCATAACAGCCAAGGTATTCCAAGTCTCTGTAGCACCCATCAGTTGGAAGTTGAGGAACATGTCGAGCTTGCCAAATAAAAATAGATGAAAGAGATTTTTGGTTACAGGCTTTTTCTTTCTTCCTCTGGGTCCTCCAAGCAGAAGAAAATCTAGACAATCAATGCTCAAGCAGCAGAAGTTCCTGAATGAAGCAAATATCCAGATTTTCTGGAAAGGGGATTCCATATTCTTGTAAGATTTCTATGATGAAAATAAAACAACGTCTTGAAGGCTTTTGAAATAGAATGTGGATCAATTTTTTATATGTAGTCTTATTAGGTATTCAGTGGTACATTTATCGGGGAAAACAAATTTCACCTAAAAAATCAAAATATAACTTAATGAACCCTAAGATTTGCGTATATTTTGTGATATTATACTGGTGAAAAGGAATGCTTCTCTTTCCCAACTGAGAGCACTCTGAATCAATCAAAGGTTACTTAGAAATAAAATCTGAAAATACAAATTCACAGAACAACCTGCCATTTATTGGATATAAGAAAATGTTTCTTTGTTGAAATCCATGGTCCTGAATCATATTTAATGTAAATTTCTCTGTGAAATCTGACTGTCACAAGCCAAGGATAATGGTTGTGTGTCAGAGCTGCCAATATACTGATTCAGCGAGTCAAGAAACAAGGTGAGATTTACTAGAATTAATAAGCATATTAATGTTATACCATGGAAAATTATACAAAAACTCATTTTGCAGCTGAATGTGTCTAATAGCATGAGACTGCACAGCAGGAAAACAAACAGAAGCCTGACACAGCTATCCAAGAGCCCAAGAGATTAGATACGTAAGGAAAGAGTGACTTCTAAAAAAATGGTTTCTTTGTTGAGGTTAAAGGAG